CAAAAAACCCCGTTCCCCCTCCCTCAAAACCAAAAAAAAAAAAAAAAAAAAAAAAGATTGTACAGAACTTAAATATATCTAAAGTAAACGGTCCTGGTGTCAAAGACTCCAGAGGCTTGAACCAGCATCTGATACCTAAGTCATGCTGAACCCAGTTTCCTTCTTACCTTACTTTCATCATTCCCCTACCAGCTATGATGCCTACAGGGACACCACAAACTCTTATGGAAAAAAAAAGCATTTCATGGGGGCTGCCTTACTGTTTCAGATGTTTAGTCCGTTATCAGCACGGCAGGGAACATGGCGGCATGTTGGCTGGCACTGGAGCAAGTAGTTCAGAGACACCCTGAACCATTCGCAGATAAGGAGGGGGAGAACTGGGCCTTGCTTGGGCTTTTAAAACTCGCAAAGCTGACACCCACTTCCCACCCCACACACACTTCCTCCAACTAGGCCACACCTCCTAATTCTTCTCAAATACTACCCCCTCCCTGATGACTAAGCACTAAAATATTAGAGCCACTGGTGGCCATCCTTATTCAAACCACCACAGAGGGTTAGGAAAGAACGTAAGAGCTGAAGAAGGAGGGCAGGAGAGGTGACTCAGCTGAGCACTTGCGGCTCTTCGGAAGCACCTAAGTTGTCTCCAGCACCCACATCAGTGGCTCACAATCACCTGGAACTCCGGCTCAGGGCACCTGCTTTCAAAAGCACACTCCCTCCCTCCACACATATGTAATTCAAAATAATATTAATAACAAAGACTTGAGGAGGGGGTGGAGTGTTTCGGAATGTCGTCGTCTGGCCAAGACAAGGCTGCTTCATTCATCAACTGTAATTACTTTTGCAAGACCTGCACAGGGGTGGGATGCAGGTTTGAGAGGGCATGGGGGAGTGTGGAGGCAGGGCGTGGTCCTGATGTGAGGGGAGAGTTAAATAGAAAGTAAGAGATATGCAGAACTAAATACTCGAGCAAGGTGTGTGGTCTTTGTCTACTATTGAACCACTCTCTCCTACAAGGTCATCTGATAAATTGTAAAGTATTTCTGTAGGAGACAAGCCCCTCCTCTGGCTGCTTCCCCTGCTTCAGCTTCAAGCTTTGGCCATTTCTTTTCCCAGGAGGAGCTTCCTGGGGGAAAGCCTAATTCCTGAGGTCCTTTCTTTCAATGGTCTGATAGCACAAATTTCCCTTTAGCATATATTCATTCCTGCCAGTTTGGGCACTTACAATATCATTAAAAATAGCAAAGTAGGGGCTGGAGAGATGGCTCTGAGGTTAAGAGCGCCGGCTGCTCTTCCAGAGGTCCTGAGTTCAATTCCCAGCAACCACATGGTGGCTCACAACCATCTGTATTGAGATCTGGTGCCCTCTTCTCTTCTGGTGTGCAGATATACATGGAAGCAGAATGCTATATACATAATAGATAAATAAAATCTTTTTTAAAAATAGCAAAATAGAGAACCTAATAGTAAATTGAATAAAAGATATGTAAGGGGTTAAAAAAAAAACCCAAATGAATACAGAAAGTGCCTTGACCTTAGAAAAGACGTTATTATCTGAAAAATATGGTTTACAAGAGTAAAATCTGCGTCTGGGGATATAGCTAAAGTAGCATGCAGAGTGGTTGTCTGGCACTCATGGAGCCTTCAGTTCATTCTCCAATACTGCATAAATAGAGGATGGTGGTGTATTGCTGTAATCGCAGCACTTGAAAAGTGGAGAGAAGGCCTAGAAATCCCAGGATGGGGCTGGAGAGATGGCTCAGCAGTTGATAACACTGGATATTCTTCCTAGAGAACCCAGGGTTCAATTTCAAGAACCCACATGGTGACCAATGATCATCTATAACTCTGATATTGTCCCTGGGTACTGGGCACACACAGCAGACATGCATGTAGACACAACACACATACATATAAATAAATAAAATGGATGGTTGTTGTAACAAGGTCCCAGAACTTAGTAGGCCCCAGACCTTAGCACAACTGATTCCATGATGGAAGTACCATTGAGGCTATAAAACTCAGCACACAGACAGCACCACCAGTCAAAACTAAAACAGAGGCCTAATCCATCAAAGTCCGTAGTTCAAGAAAAGTCTCTACATGTACTGACCTTGATTTCTGTAGTTCTGCTTCCAGCTAACCGTTCATGTTAACTGAAGAATGTCAAGCCAGGACATTGTTTTTATGCTCAAAAGCTCACCCTGAGAAAAGCTCGAGGCTACCCTGGGATCCTGAACACCCAGTATAGTCATTGGCAGGCTACTAACGACTTTCTATTGGCTTAAATCCAGGTCCAAGCAGTCTTCTTTGGTGAATGCCCCACATTTGTGAGCTGCCATGGGTGCTCTGGAAATTAAATTTAGGTCTTCTACAAGAACAGCAAATGCTCTTAAATTACTGAGACATCTCTCCACCCTTAATACATAAATTAAAAAAAAAAACAGCAACATTTAAAAAGAAAGAAATCCAAGTTGGTTTTTCTCCTATATAATAGTGAATTTGAGGCCAGCCTGGCCTATAGAAGACCTTGATCACAAAAATAAGTGAATAAATGAATGAATAAGTAAATAGACAAACAAAAAGTTACTCTCAAGCTAGAGTGTCTCTGCTCTGCCATTTAGCAGGTGTGTGACCACTGGAAAATTAACTGATTTCAGTTTCTTTATCTGTAAGACAGATATTAAAATAGCAGTTATTAGTCAGGCATAGTGGTGCACACCTTTAATCCCACCACTTGGGAGGCAGAGACAGACAGAGACCAGTCTGGTCTACAGAGTGAGTTCCCGAACAGTCAGAGTTACCTAGTGAGACCCTGTCTTGAAAACAACAACAGGGCTGGAGAGATGGCCTCAGCTGTTATGACACTGGCTGCTCTTCCAGAGGTCCTGGGTTCAATTCCCAGAAACTACATAGTGACTCACAGCATCTATAGTGAGATCTGAAGTCCTCTTCTGTCATGAGGCACACATGCAACTAGAGCACCCACACACATAAGTAACTAAATCTTTAAAAAGAAAACAAAAAGCCACGCGTTGGTGGCACAAGCCTTTAATCCCAGCACTCAGGAGGCAGAGGCAGGCGGATCTCTGTGAGTTCGAGGCCAGACTGGTCTCCAGAGCGAGGGCCACAATAGCCTCCAAAGCTACACAGAGAAACCCTGTCTTGAAAAAACCACACACACACACAAAAAAAAATAAAAAGAAAACAACAACAAAATAGCAGTTACTTTTTGGGACTGCTATGAATATCACAGAAAACAGTGCCTGCCTCCTAGGAAAGAAACTTTCTCTGTGCAAGTGATTTGTTGATTAGAAGCCGTGAGTAGCAGAATATATGTCAGCTTTTCTGTTACTGTTACAAATATCTGACATAGCTCAAGCTATAAAAAAGAGAAAGGTTTATTTTAGCTCACAGTTTGGGGGGGGGTGTTGGTCCTTGATTTGGGCCCTCTGGGGAGCACATGATGGCAAGGTGTGCAATGCCCTTCACTTCACAGCCTGGACATGAAAGATGAAAAGGAACAGGCTGGAAGGCCGCAGGGCTGCAGGGTTGGCTCAGCGGTTAAAAGCACTGGCTGAGACTGCTGCCCTTAAGTGCCTCTTTGGGTTGGGTGGTAAAATAGGATTCCCACAAGATGACAGTTGACTTTGCTCAGCCATCCTAGAAAGGATTGTTTGTTGGGACAATGGGTCTCACCTGACCTTGGGCAAACAATTTCAGGAGAGCTGGGTGTTGGTGGCACACACCTTTAGTCCCAGCACTCAGGAGGCAGAGGCAGGCGGATCTCTGTAAGTTCTAGGCCAGCCTGGTCTACAGAGCAAGTTCCAGGACAGGCTCAAAAAACAAAACAAAACAAAACAAAACAAAACAAAACAAAACAAAAAAAACACAATTTCAGGAAGGAAAGGCTGAAACAATTTCCTCCTTCCTAAGCCCCACCCCTATAAAAGGCAAAAAGGCAAATTCCCACCCCCTCAACTTCCTGGCAGGAGAGAGGCTGCCCCTGTCTGTGTGTGCTAATAAACACAGTTCCATCTGCTAAGGTCAGACTTCTGTCTCTACATCCTGTCTCTTTACACTGCCTCAGAAATCTAACACAAATGACCCAGGTTTGATTCTTAGCACCCACTTGTTAACCCACAACCATCCGTAAGTCTGGTTCCAGGTTCTGACGCCCTCTTCTGGTCTCCATGGGCACCAGGCACACATGTGCTACAATACAGATAGATTTGCAGGCATGAAAATTCATATACATAAAATGAAAATAAAATGTTGGCTTGGCATGGTGGCTTACACGTTTAATCCCAGCACTTGGGAGGCAGAGGCAAGTGGATCTCTGAGTTGGAGCCCAGAATGATCTTTACACATCAAGCTCCAGGCCAGTCAAGGCTACATACATAGTGAGACACTGTGGAGTTGTAGTAGCAGTAGCCATAGTAAGAGCAATAATGGAAATTGTAATAATTTAGAACAACAAAAAGAAAAGGGTTGGGAGGCTGACTGTCCTTTTAAGGCACACCTTCAACGATCTTTAGACTTCTATGGGGCCACCTCTCACGGGTTCTGTTACCCACCGTTGGGCCCAGGTTACATGTTTCTGATCTCACCATAATATGGTGAATAAGGGGCTGGAGAGATGGCTCAGCGGTTAAGAGCACTGACTGTTCTTCCAGAGGTCCTGAGTTCAATTCCCAGCAACCACGTGGTGGCTCACAACCACCTTAAATGAGATCTGGTGCCCTCTGCTGGCATGCAGGCAGAAGACTATACAAAATAAATAAATAAAATCTTAAAAAAAAAAAAAAAAAGATGGTGAATAAGAAGTTATCCCATAAGGTTACTTACTTGAAGGGCACAGTGTTGCCTTACTGGTCATGTACTCCAAACCAACTCAGACTAGGTAAGCCCTTCTTTTTACCAGGATATGCTGGGAATTACATTTGAATAGCAACTGCCTAAATTTGATTGTAACCAGGGATGGAGAACCTTATACTAATATTCAGAGATCTGGAGTATAAATAGCCTGTTAAAGGTAAGGATTCACGATGTTTCTGCAGTTGCTAGATGTGTTGTCTGCAGAGGAATGTGTGCATAGTTTGTGCAGGTGAAGGTACCAGACTATGCTACACCATGCATCATTACAAGCAGTAGGTGGCACATAACCCAAAGCAAAACTATCTCCTGTGCTTGTCTGTCTCAGTTCCAGCCCTCCCAGAGCCTGTCAGCTAGAGACAAACCCTTCAACATGGATATGTGGAGGATATTTAAAATCCAAACTATAACAAAGAGCAAGATGAAAGCCTGATCTCCTGGCCCAGTCTACAGTGGCCATGTAGCAAGGGATGAAGTGAGACCACTTACCTGGACCACTCCATGGGTAGAGAGAAAAGTTTACTGGGGGAACAAATTGTTGGGCTGCCT